AAGACATAAAAGACATAAACATTAAGAAATAAATTATCTATTATTATATACAAAGCTTTGATGAATGGAATGATTATTGGAGTATTAATTAATTATTGCTTATTAATAATAATAATAATTTAAAAATAAATAAATTCAATCTTTTTTATAATATATAAGCCAATGACTACTAATAATAAGACATAAACATTAAGAAATAAATTATCTATTATTATATACAAAGCTTTGATGAATGGAATGATTATTGGAGTATTAATTTTATCTGTTAATTATTGCTTTATACGATTATTAGTATATAATTATCTCTTGTAGCTTCTGTCTTTTCAAAGGGATAAAATTATTCAGGATGGTGTAATTGTTTTTCACACAGCTGAAAATATTATTGTATTTTCTGTCTTTCAGACACTTGTGTGGTACAAGAGTGAGAGTAGAGATGTCCTCTGGAAGAAGTCGACGAGGCGGTGGTGGTCGCAGACCTGGTCCTAGATATTCCAGGTAAGGAAACTTGCGCTGTTTCGCAACAATCGCGAACTTTACAGCAAGAAATATGTTAGAACTGTAACAGGAACTGACGAGGCGTCCATCGCCAATGTAGGTATTCGTGATGGAAAAGAACATCTCTCTCTTGCCTCAAAAATAGGGATGCGCTCAGAGAAACAAACACAGGTTTTTTTCTTTTTTTTTTTTTTTCTTTTTTTCTCCAATGAACACTTCCTTGCACATCATTACCACAGACTTGATAGTTTCCCCTTCTGTCTCTGTGTGTAGAAATGCTGATGAACATATTTACATTCCATATTTATATATCGTGTTTCTTTTTCTTTCTCTTTTTCTCTTTGTCTCTCTTGATCGTCGTGTGTCTGGCTAATCTTCTTTTCTGTTCATGATTACAAATTTGCAATTCGAAATAGCCGATAATTCCGATTCAAGTTACGCCATGCGATACGTCTCATAGAGATAATCAGAATTAGATGTCAAGTTTGCATGACAGAATGATGAAAGGTCAACTGGGGATTAGTCAGAGCACGACTGAATCCACACTGCATGTTCGGTAACAAGGAGATATTAAGATACTTAGATACTTTTAATTCCGACGTATTAAGATAGAAGACACTGAGAGAATAAATCGAATTCCTAATTATTCTATTATTTTCAAGGATTCATGAAATGTAACAAATACTAGTAATTTTTATTTAATTTTGTCTATTATTATTGTATTATACACAAATAAGTATGTCCTGTGTTCTTACAATTTGAAAAAATTAAAAATGTTAATGTATTATAAATTCTATCTAATTTAAAAGCCAGTCATAATGATGGAACTAAGTTCAAGCTTTAAATTTATTTTTAAAAACATATAGAAGAATATTATACAGGGTGCCCTAAAGCACCCTTGACAACGCTCGTGAGCAGATAGAGCACAATAAACTGAACAGAAAAGTCCCTGTACCATTTTTTTTGAGTACCATTATTATTGAGTAAAGTCTGGCCAATCAGCGCCGACTTTGAGCCGCACGCCTGGTAGTGTGCGCCGCCGTAGCGACGGAGCGCTCACGCACACTACCAGACGCGCGGCTAAAGGTCGGAGCTGATTGTCTAGACTTTACTCAATAATAACTCCTTTATTAAGCGTTATAGAAAAAAATGTTACAGGACTTTTCTGTTCAGTTTACTATGCTCTATCTGCTCACGATCATTGTCAAGGGTGCTTTGGGACACCCTGTATATGATAAAATATGTTTGTACTTTCTTACAAATTTCATTAAATAATTGTTATCTAAATTTCTAATTGAATCATTTCAATTTTCTAACAACTTTTTGCCTAACTTTTCATGCTGCTAATAAACTATAACGAAAATTTTCTGTTAATGTGAGTATATTAATTATATATATAATAATATTATTACCTCAATATAACTATTCATTTTCTAAAAAATCTCTTACAATCTTTTATCTTAGCACGACGGAAATTGAGATCTCTATTTCGGGTTAGCACTTAGCGCTTATTTTTTCTACTCTTCCTTTCATTATTTCTCTCTTTCTTATTGTAATGTCCTCATGTATATGCTTCAGCAAACAATCGGATTTATGTATGATATATATCTCTCTGTTTTTTTAAACAAATTTATAGGTCCCGGTCGCGCAGTCCCCGTAGGAGATCTCTGGGTCGTTATCCGAGGTAAGATTCTCTCGCTTCTCCTAATCTCCCGCCACTCTGTTGCAAAAAAAGGTCCGCCTCGCTTTTTTTTTCTTCTTCCTCTGTCCTTCTTATTATAAAATTAACCGCAGTTTTTAGGAGCTACTAAGCCAAATGAAAATCTCTCAATACATGAGACCATTACCGGCAAATACTTGGCAGACATACATCAGTTTTTTTAAATCTTTTGTAGATCTTGGTCACGAAGCCCACAAAAATTGCCGATTAGCCGCTATTCAAGGTAATTGATTCTTTTTCTCACGCTGCTCTACTATTTTTCGTACCTCGCTTTATGAAAGTTTTCAGGATCTATGTGATGGATTTGGCGAGAGAAATCAGATAGTAACCAGTAGGTATACATATTCCGCAAGCTTGTATTTGTCGTAGCATATACATGTTTATACATATGTCTATTGCATGCATTATCTATATCACTAAAGGACTTTGGATACAGAAAGACGTTAATCGAAAAGGACGAACAATCGTGCTTTTATCACTTTTCATCGCACACGCATTGCAGTATGGATTTTGATTCGAGTATAATTAATGATTTATTAGTATCTACACAATTTATTAATTTGTTTTATTAAAGTCGCAGTTTTACTCAATAAAAGAATCGATATATGCTCGATGCGTCGCGACGAGAACGTGATGTATACGGAGACGATATATAGATCCGAGTTGATTAGCATGAAATACAGAGAGTTACTCCTTTTTTTTTCGTATGCATTCGAGTGGGCAGCCTAAGATAAAGGAGAAGGCAAAAATCAATCGGTGATAACGGCTAATGGCGAGAATTTATATGTAATTTCGTTTTCGATTCGTTAAGTTTTTTTTTGACAGTGATAAAAGTTTGGAAAAAAAAAAGAAAAATACGCGATATAGTGGCCAGGAGTATGATAACGTTGATGATTATATTGCTAAAACTGACGTTTGCAGATTCTACCAGCATCAGCTCCTAGCTCTGTTCGTCTCCCCGCCACTACTACTGCTACTTCTACTACTACTACTACTACAGCCACCGTGAAAAAGCGTATTCGTACGCGAAAAACAAAATTTTCAATCTCGCAATCGTCGTCAATTGAACAAAAAAAATATATAGATATGCCCGCCTGCCCACTAACTTCCCAACCAACCAAGTCACCATCAGTCACCACCAAGTCACCAAGTATAGGAAGCTGCCCATACGTCGTATGTCACGTCACGTCGTCCGTCGAGGTTCTGCGTTGTGGTGTTGCGACGCGCATATAGTACACAACAGCGCAACAACCGAAACAACAGTTTCCGTGCTGCCGGAGTGCCGTCAATACCGAGAATGCCATCTTTTGTTGCTGTCTGCCCGTTCGACATCGTTGCATCGCTAAAACAAATCGTCTTGAATCGAAACAAAACCGTTCGTCGCTCTACTACGAGATTCTCCCATTCGATAACCACTACTATTATTACTACTACTCTTCCACCACTACCACCAACCGATCACCGGATGTTGGTGCGATTCACCTTCTTCGACTCTTCGTGTCAGCTTTAGCCCGGGGGGCGGTAATATGCATCGAGTTAAACGTCAAAAAAATCCGCCATCGTGAGAAAAACATCACCACCGGCCGCCATCATCTTAAACGAATCCATTGCACTGTACCAAAAAGAATGATCTTTCATACAGTAATTCTATCGGCGCGTTTCTTCATTTGACTGCGAACGACTGTCTTCTCGACTGTTCGTCGTTTCAATACCGACGTTTCTGTTTCATCACTGCTACTACTAGTATTACCGCTACTGTTACTACTGCTACTACTCCTACACGTCGACCATCAATTAGGGACATATGTTTAGCGACGATGACAACTGAGCGCGCGAAAATTGCAGCCGAGAGATCTTCTCGACCTTCGACTCTTTGAGAACGAACTCACAAAAAGCGAAATGATCACTTACTACACACCATCCCACCACCACCCACCAACCAATCAACCACTACTACATGTTCACAATTGTCTGGTATTTCACCGATTTTCAAAGATTTTTTATCTCTATCTCTATCTATTTCTACTTTTTGTTTTTGTTTGTTTTTTTTCTTCTTTTTTCACAATTATATACTATTAGATTTATTCAGATACAGTGTTTTTAATTTATTGTTGTAATTATTAATAATAATTTCGATGATAAGTTCTACCTCATTCGAAAAAAGAATTGATGCCGTTATCGGCTAAATAAATAAAACTTTTGATTTGTTCTTAATAGAATTTTTATAAATAAATATTTAGTTGAATCAGAAAATTTTCAGTTGACGTATGTAATATAAATTATAAATATAAAGCGATATATATTAAGAGATGTCACATTTAGTGATGAAAGATTTAACTTGATTATTAAATTTAATCTTCTACTTTCTTTGATTGGTTTCACATTCAATTTAGTGACCTGCCATTTTATATTAATTCATTAATTGTGTCTAACTATATATAATTTTTATATATCACTTTCTAGATAAAATAGAAATTAGATAATTCTAATTCTCTTGCAGTTGTCTTGCGATGATTTTTCATATCTGTGTTCTATTACGCCGCTTCGTTCCGTTTCGAACAGATTATATGATACTATATATAATTTTCAACAAATTTCAATCGCTTTTTAACTAAAGCGATAAGTAAGCAATCATTAATATTTTATAATATATTATTTATTGTTTATGTAGTGATTATTACATGGCAATTCGCGCAGTTCGTAATGGGGCGAAGAAGCGGATTCTAACAATCTTGCCTCCTACTTCAAGAAAACTATATCTAAACTGTCTTTAATCTTTTAGGTCGAGGTCTCGCAGCCCACGCAGGAGATCATTGACACGAAGCCGCAGCCGAGATCGCCGTTCGCGTTCGGATTCCCGCGACAGACGGTATTAATATATTAATTTAAAAAAAGAGAAAAAAAATTATTTTTCCAAAATACAAACAAAGGAAAGAAAACGAGAATCAGTAAAAAAAAAATTAATGCATCAATAAAGAGAAATTGCAATGAATGCGTCGTAATTTCTCTTTACTGATGTTATGGCATGATAAACCTACGTCCGAGGAGACGAAGGCTTTGAAATTGACATGATAGATAGATAGAAAAAAAAATCTTGCCATTGTCCGATACGGCGAGAGTTCCGCGTTTGCGTGATCAAAATTCATTTTTTTCTAAGCTTTGTATTCTTTATCTAATTACAGTTAGATGCTAAAAGGTCGAGGGAGAGGGAGAGAGAAAGGAACGGATCGATTTTATGTGCCGGACGGAAGATAGAAAGAAAGATAAGAGATCGAGCGAGAGACAATTTTGTATGTACATACATAATGAAAATTGTTAATTATACATATGGACACACACACGCTCACGTTCGGAATAACAAATGACACGATAAAAAACAAAACAAGAGACATTCAACGAGTTTTGTGAATTACACGAGTTTAGTGTATAAACTGTATTCTTTTCATAAGTTTCACTATTATATATGTAGCTCATAAATACATAGATGAATCATACTATTGCTTTTGTGGCACACCTACGCATACATACATCTATGTACATAACATCATGACAACTGCATACATCTGATTGATTGATTAATTGTCTCAAAGTATGCTATTTACAAAATAAATCTGATCATTACTTTTGTGAAATTTGTGATGATTATTATTAATATTTATCGGTTATATGGTGAAAATATGAGAAGGAAACAATTTATTTTTGACATATTGATCATTTTGTATTTTATTTTTGGAATTTAAGATACGACACAAATAAACGTGAAGATAATGAAATACAAATTGCAATGCTTTTCTTTATATATTGTGAACATGACTCTTCTTTTTTCATTGGCAATGGATATAACATAATCAGTTTCAATGAATAGTACTGTTTAAGCTTTTACATTTCCTTCTTATTTTAAACACTCGAGAAATTAGCGGTGCAACTTCAACGTTCTATGACAAAGTTCTGGACAATGAAAAAAGGAGTTATTTTATATTCTGCAATATCTTTAGGATACTAGGGAAAAAATATAATTTTTGTTTGTAATTTATATTCATGTATATATAAAATAGGATATTCTTGTGCATAGATTTATAACAAAATTAGGAGACACTTAAATTTAATGGCTAATCTTTTTAATTTATTATCTACTCATAAATATTAATTAATCAACATGTATATAAGGAATTAAAAAGTATAAATCTATGCTACAAATCTATTTTTGCCATAATTAATTAATGCATTGAACAAACAAAAAAGCGTTAATATAATTATATAATTAATTAGATTTTTAGTTGGTTTAAATGTTATTAATGTCAAATTCGTTTATTATATATGTGGGTGAGACTTGCAACGTATCTAGATTGTGTTTAAAAATCTACTCGTTGGAGTAGATGTCAAACGCAAATAGATTTTGATGGTCCATAGATACACAAAATACATAGACGAGTCTATTCTGCGATGAGCGGAAGATTTGCGATAAAAGAAGAGGTACCAACAACTTCTGTCCGTCCACCAATTACAAGTATATAGCCAAAAGGAACCAGATAGCAGTTCATATACAATGTCATAGCAACCTCATATCAGCAGTTAATTTTCCGACTATATATTTTACATGTCTATGGCCGCACCGCGTGGGAGAAGGCGGTTAAGGTGGGGTTGGGTTTGGAGATAGGTGGCTCGTTTGATAGTCGCCATTTTGTGGCATTTCTACGCATTCTACGTATATCGTATATCGTGTAGTAAACGAACGTGTGTGTTGTACCAGCAGGTCGTGCTGATCCTTTCAATAGCGACTCTTTCAAGGTATGGATTATTTCAACCAGATCGTCATTCTCGAAGATATTTTTACATTATATTCGTCCGTTCGACGTCAAGGGAAAAGTTGCGGGTGCGAGAAGACCCTGAAAACTTTCCATGGCGTCATTTCGACAACGAAGACGAACGCCTTTTCGTTGTCACGTTCGATAAATAAAATAAGAAAATAGCGGGAAAGAAGGCTGTTGAGAAAAAAGAATTAAATTAATTTTTTTAATTAAAAATGTTGAAAATTTGTGCATATGTATATTTGTGAAAAATTAGATAACTTGTCAAAGAGAAGGAAAGGAGATAAAAAAAGCAATAAAGATTTGAGAAAGATAGCGTACGCGACATGGCGTTGTTACAATTCTCAATTTCGATAATAATTGATGAATCTGAACGCGATTGCGCGGCTTTCGATTGATCGAACAGAATGATAGAATTCCATTTATTGGAAATTTTCCAAGGCGATTAATATCGCGCTTGTTGGTGTATAGCATGCAATAGAGAGAGAGAGAGAGAGAGAGAGAACGGATGCTTCATTATTTGTTAATGAGATATTTTGATTATTCTGGTTACATTTTAATAAACGTGCTAGAGAGCATAAGCTTTAGAATTGTATGTATTTATTAACTTCAATTTTAGCTATCTCAAAGTGCTTGAAAAACATCTACAAATATTTATATATATATATTTGTTGATATAGAAGAGATGATCATGTACAATAAAAGTTAAAAAATAAATTTTAAGCTTTTTTTTTTTTAATTTTAAGACTTCTGGGATGTTCTATTGTTAAAATATCAATAAGGTCAAAATGTGACCTTAAGGCTGTCAATGAAAATATTGATATCATTGTTGAATTATGAATTATTATTTTGATATTCATGAACTTTTTAAAGTTAAATTATATTACATATGTGTGTGTGTAGGTGTGTTATCTTTATGTTTTACTTATACAATATATTACTATGATTAATATAAAATATTAAATATTTTCAAGCAAGGAGTTGAAAGTTTTCAAAAATTTGTCATTCTATATATGATATTACACGTTTATCTAATTTCACCAAAAGTTAACTCTGTAACTTTCTATTGAAAAATATTATTTTATATGGGATCTTGTAATCTTATATTATACTTAAATATATTGTATATACATATATATTGACAATTTATGAATTTTAATATTATGTTGTACTTACTTGGTAATAAATTTGTAGGTAGAAAATGTCGCGCTATCGTGAATGGGATCTATCCTGTAAGGTTTATGTTGGTAATCTGGGTAGTAGTGCTAGCAAACATGAAATAGAGGGTAAGTTCAGTAAGTATGGTCCACTGAGAAATGTGTGGGTAGCCAGAAATCCACCTGGTTTTGCATTTGTGGAATTTGAGGACCCACGAGATGCTGAAGATGCAGTGAGAGGACTAGATGGAATGTAAGTTCAAATATTAATAATTTTTATAGTAAACTCAATCTTTTTATGATAATATATCAATCATTAGCTAGTAATAATGAGATATATAAACACTAAAATAAGCACGAAAATATAAACAATGGGATAAATTTTACAATTATTTATTATCGAAAAAACTCTGATGAATGAAATATAATTATCAAATATTAATTACCTATTTGCCACAAGTATCACTTATAAAATTGCTACATAATTGTCGCTTTTATCTTTTGTTTTTTCAAAGGGATAGAAAAATAATACAGAGCAATAAAATCGCTTTTTACAGCTAATATTTTTTTTCTCCAGACACTTATGTGGCACCAGAGTGCGAGTAGAAATGTCGTCTGGAAGAAGTCGACGAGGCGGTGGTGGTCGCAGACCCGGTCCTAGATATTCCAGGTAAGGAAACTTGTGCTGTTTCGCAACAACCGCGAATTTCACAGCGAGGAAAATGTTAAGAGGTGCGACAGAAATTGTCTAGTAGTCCCTTGTCAATATAGGTATTCATGATGGAGATGAGCATCTCTTTCTTATCTTAAAAGTAGGAGCGCGCTCTTATCAGGGAAACAAAGCACGGTTTTTTTTCCTTTTTTTTCAATGAACATTTTTATGCACATTATCACTACCATATGATTCAATATTTTTCCTTATGTCTCTGTATGTAAGAATGCCGTTAAACATACTTAGCATTACATGTTTATACATCGTATTCGTTTTGTTTCTTTTTCATCTTTTTCTCTCTTTATGTCTTGAACGTCATGTGTCTGGCTAATCTTCCTCCTCGTTTACAATCGCGAGTTCGCAGTTCGAAATAGGCAATAATTTCGATTCAAATATGTTTTGTAATATGTCTTGTAGAAATTACGCCAGGATTAGATATTAAGTCTGCATGAGTGGAAAGTACCAGGGATTAGTCAGAGCATGGCTAAATCTACACTGCATGTTTGTGCGAATAGAGAGATATTGGCACACTAGGACTTAGTTCCGATGTACTAAGATAAAAGATATCGAAGGATAAATCGCGGATTTCTATTTATTCCATCATATTTAAGGATTCATTAAATGTATTAAACATAAGTAATATTAATTTTTTCTACAATTATAATATTACATATCAGAGAAAGAAAGAGAGGGGCGAAGTTTTGTTTTCGCAATGTAAAGAATTTAAATGTTAATTTTAACAAATTTTATGTAACCCGATAACACTCATCGAACAAAGTTCTTGCTCTTTAAATCTAGTCCTAAAAACATAATAGAGAAATATATGATGATAATATGTATTTTCATTTTTTCTTACTATTTAATGAATTTAATGAAATAATTGTTATTTGAATATTTAGTTGAATTATTTTAATTTTCTAATTAGCGACTTTTTTATCGTTGCTAATAAATTACAATGAACTTTTTTTGTTAATGTGTACATATTAATATATATAAAGCACATATTTTTTATATTGCTTTACTACGCCATTTGTAAAAAATATTTTACAATCTTTTATCTTAGCACGACGGAAGTCAAGATAACGATTTCTGCTTCCGATTATCAATTAGCGCTTAATTTTCTCTATCTCTTTCTTCCATTATTCCTCTCTTTCTCATTGTAATGTCCTTAGATATGCATGCCTATATATGTATGCTTCAGTAAATAATCAGATTCACGTATGAAATATGTTTTTTTTTTATTTTTTTTTTTTCATAAATTTTTAGGTCTAGATTGCGCAGTTCTTATAGGAAATCCCTGGATCGTTACCAGAGGTAAGACTTTTCTGCTCCTTTTTTCCTCGTCACCCCATTGCAAGAAGATCCACTTGCTTTCTCTCTCTCTCTCTTTCTCTCTCTCTTTCTCTCTTTGTTTTCCTTGCTGTCAAAGTTCATTACAATTTTCAGGTACTATTTAAAAAAACAAACATCTTAATACGTAAGGCCACCGGCAAAATACTTGGCAGACATACATTAGTTTTTTTTAAATCTTTTGTAGGTCTTTGTCGAGAAGCCCGCGAAGATCGCCGATTAATCGCTACTCCAGGTAATTAATTCTTTTTCTCACGCTGTTTGATTATTTTTCGCATCTCGCTTCGTGAAAGTTTTTAGGATCTATATGATGGATCTGGCGAAAGAAACCAGATGGTAACCAGTAGGTATACATATTTTGCGATTTCATAGTTCGTAGCATACGCATGTCTATATATATGTCTATTGTATGCATTATCTATGTCATTAAAGATATGTAGTCACTATAGTCGCTAAAAACATTTAGAGACACCCGGAAGACGATATTGAAAACGAATTGATGAGCGAATTAATCAATGATTATTAAAAAAAAATTAAGTTTACATTTCATATAACAAGATTTCTATAGAAATTGATTTTCGCTAATTAATTAATTTCATCATCGTTCTTTCTTTAAGTTCTAAACTTATAATTGGAAGGCTAAGAGATGTCTTAGGGAGGGTAGTTGATCGCGTGGTGAATGTTGGACGCCCGAACGGTGGTAAAAAGAAACAAAAACATGTAGTGCTTGATCAACAATAGAGTTTTGGAGGGAGAGGACACAGGACTGTGAACAAATTATGCGATAGTAAATGAAAACGAGGAGGATTTAGAAATTATATAACAGAATAAAATAGAGAAAGAGAGTTAGGATTGAGAATCCCAGGAACGCATGACGTCAGCGCGCGCGATAGTTTTGGGAAAAGCAAAAATGCACTATGCATGTACAGAGTTCAGAGTTTCGTAAATTTGCTGTATCATCATTATCGATTTTACTCTTTAAGTGCTTCGAAAGGAGGGATCTTTTCGGTATCTAAAGTCGAAAAGTATAGCTTTATAAAATTGTATTTGCATTTTCGTTCAAAGACACTATAATGTAATGAGGAAGATTGAAATTGTGAAAGAACAAAATTATTATCTAGTAATATAATAACAGATAATGAATAATATTTTCTTAATGGCAATAGTGCAAAATAATTCATTCCAGATTTCAATTCTTGAATTATAATTTCTGAATGATTGCTTGGTGTTTGATATTTTTTATTAATTGATAATATTTCTTTATGTAATTATAAGAAGATTATATACATATATTGAAAGTTTCTTTCTTAATTACATTGATTCTATTGATCAGTAAATACTTTGAAGTTTTATATTTTTGCGATTGTTATTGTTCTTAGGACTTTGGATACCGAAAAATGTTAATCGAATAAGATGAACACTTGTGCTTTTGTCACTTCTCATCGCACACGCACCGCAGTATGGATAAAGTAGAGAATTATAATATGAGTATAATCAAAATCTAAAAAGCTTATTCATTTGTTTTGTTAAAGTCGATATTATACTTGATAAACAATCGATATATGCTCGATGCGTCGCGACGAGAATGTGGTGTATAACTGAAGCGATATAGATCAATCATATAGATCTGAGTCGATGAGCACGAAGCACAGAGAGGTCCTCTCTTCTTTTTTTCGTATGCATTCGAGTGGGCAGTCTAGGATAAAGGAGAATGCAAAAATCAATCGGTAATAACGGCGAAAGGCGAGCATGTGTATGCAATTTCATTCTCGATTCGTAAAGATTTTTTTTTCTTTTTTTTTTTCCGGAAGTGATAAAAGTTTGAAAAACAAAACAAAAGAAAAATACGCGATATAGTGGCCAGGAGTATGATAATGTTGATGATTATATTGCTAAAACTGACGTTTGCAGATTCTACCAGCGTCAGCTCCTAGCTCTGCTCGTCTCCCCGCCACTACTACTACTGCTACTTCTACTACTACTACTACTACAGCCACCGTGAAAAAGCGTATTCGTACGCGAAAAACAAAATTATCAATCTCGCAATCGTCGCCAATCGAACAAAACTGAACAAAAAATATATATATGCCTGCCTGCCTGCCCACTAACTTCCCAATCAACCAAGTCACCATCAGTCACCACCAAGTCACCGAGTATATAGGAAGCCGTCCGTACGTCTGTCACGTCACGTCACGTCGTCCGTCGAAGTTGTGCGTTGTGGTGTTGCGACACGCACACAGCACACAATGGTGCAACAACCGAAACAACAGTTCGCGTGCTGCCGGAGTACCGTCAGTGCCGAGAAAGCCATCTTTAAAAGAAAAAAAAACGTTGCCTCTTTTGTTGCTGTCCCCCCGTTCGCCGTCGTTGCGCTGCAAAAACAAATCGTCCGTCGTTCTACTACGAGATTCTCCCCTTCGATAACCACAACCACTACTACTACTACTATTACTACTACTACTCTTCCACCACTACCACCATCACCACCACCAACCACCAATCGACCGATCACCGGGTGTTATTGTGATCCACCTTCTTCGACTCTTCGTCTCAGCTTTAGCCCGGGTGGGGGGGCAGTGGTACGCACCGAATTAATTGCCAAAAATATCTGCCACCGTGAGAAAAAAACACAACCCATCGGCTGCCACCATCTTGAACAAATCGATCACGCGATGTAAAAAAAAAAAAATGATTTTCCACACAGTAATTCTATCCATCGGCGCGTCTCTCCATTCGACTGCAAACGACTGTCTTCTCGACTGTTCGTCGTTTCGATACCGACGTTTCTATTTCACCACTGCTACTACTAGTATTACCGCTACTGCTACTACTACTACTGCTACTGCTCCTACTCGTCGACCATCATTTAGGGACGTGTGTTTAGCCACAACGACAACTGAGCGCGCGAGAGTTGCCGCCGAAAGATCTTCTCGAGAGCGAACGCAAAAAAAGCGAAATGATCACCACCTACTACACACCATCCCACCACCACCCACCAACCAACCAACTACCACCAACCACCACTACATGTTCACAGTTGTCTGGTATTTCACCGATTTTCAAAGATTTTTTATCTCTATTTCTCTATCTATTTTTATTTTTTTTGTTTCTGTTTGTTTTTTTCTTATTTTCTGAATTATATACAGTTATTATTTTGGATTTATTGTTGTCGTTTCGGCGAGGAATTCTGCCTATTTCGGTGAAGCATTAATGTCTTTATTAAGGGATGTGAAGCCTTCGAATTATTCTTAATAAATGAAGCTTTTCGAATTATTCTTAATCGAATTTTTATAAATGATAATTAATTTTTAATTGAATCGGAGAATTCCAAGTCGACACACATATACAATAATATAAATATAAAGTGGTATATCTGTTACATCTCTCATATATATATATAGAGAGAAATGTCACATTTACTGATAAAAAATTTAATTTGGTTACGAAAGTTGATCCTTCTACTTTCTTTGATTAATTTCACATTCGATTGGTGAGCCATCATTTTGTATTAATTCATTATTAATCCTGTCTAACTATATAATTTTTATATATCACCCTTTAGGCGAAATAGAAATTAGATAATCCTAATTCTCTTACAGTTGCCTTGATGATTTTTCGTATCTGTGTTTTATCACGCCGCTCCGCTCCGTTTCGAGCAGAGAATTTAACATTATCATTTTTTACAAATTTTAATTGCTTCTAGCGATAAATAAGCACTCATTCTGAAATAGAATTACATTTTACACGGATAACAATACAATGGAAATAATTAAATTAATAATTTACTTAATTTAATTTATTTTAACAATTTAATATCATTTAGAATAAAAGTAACGTAATCAGTGATTAATAAATGAATAATTCTTCCAAGAAAGAACAATACAAAAATAATGATTTATACATAATTACTATTAATATAATTATTGTAAAAATTTATAAATATTGGTGTAGCACAAAAAATAATTTAACAATCAATTATAATTTTATGATTGCTTATTTGTCATTATTTTTAAATAACTATTATATTAATACATTTTTTATTAAATATTAATAAAATAATATTTTTTGTTATAGATACACAACACACACTAAAAATTAATAATGTATAATAAGTATTTATATTCTACAATAACATTAATATATTACTTATTGCGGTTATTGATAGCAATTTGCGAAGCTCGTAATGGAGCGGAGAAGCGGATTCTAATAATCATACCTGCCACCTCAATATAAAAACGATATCTAAACTGTATTTAATCTTTTAGATCGAGGTCTCGCAGTCCCCGCAGGAGATCATTGACTCGGAGCCGCAGCCGCGATCGCCGTTCACGTTCGGACTCCCGCGATAGACGGTATTAATATATTAATCCTGCTAATTAAAAAAAAAAAAAAGAAAGAAAAAATTATTCCCCCCTCCCAATAAACAAAAAATATAAAGGGAAACAAAACGAGAGAACCAGAAAAAATTAATGCGACAGTAAAGAAAAATTTCAACGCTCGAACGCGCCTCCGAGGGGACGAGAGCTTTTGTGTGAAATTGACGTGATTGGATAGATGGATAAAAAAAATCCTGTCATTGTGCGATACGGCAAGAATTTCGCATTCGTGTGATCAAAATTCATCGCAGACAGCAACGTCCTTTCTTGCAATAAGAGCGAAAAGAGAGAAAAAAAAAGACACGAAAAAGTTCAACAAGATTCCTTTTTTTCTAAGTTTTGTATTTTTTATCTAATTACAGTTAGATCCTAAAAGTTCGAGAGAAAAAGAGAGAGAGAGAGAGAGAGAAATGGATCGACCGGACGGAAGACAGAAATAATGATGAGAAATAGAGCGAAAGACAATGTCATAAAAATTGATTGTTAACTACACATACATACACACACGCGCGCTCGCGTTCGGAACTATGAATGATTATGATGAAAATGTGACAAAAAGAATAGTGAAAGATACTGAATGAATTTTGTGAATAACGCGAGTTTAGTATATAAGTCGTATTCTTCTCGTAAGTTTCACTATTATACATGTAGCGTATAAACACATACACACAGCCAAGCTATACTGTTGCACATACATACATTTACGTACATTATATCACGAACAATTACGTATGTCAAATTGATCGATTAATTATGTCTAATTGTGCTATGTATAAAATAAATTCTATCATTACTTTTGTGAGGTTCTTAATTATTATTAATGATTATTGATTATTTAGGGAAAATGCGAGAAGAAAGCGAAAATTTAGTTATATTTGGATCATTTTTTGTATTTAGTTTTTAGAATTTAAGATCGACACAAATAAATTTGTAGATAATAATAAAAATGCAAAATCGCAATGCTAGTAACTTTTCTTTGTATATTGTGAATGCGACTTCTATCTTTTTTCTTTACATCAGGAATAGATATAAAATATATGAGCATATATATATATACACACACATATAATATAATAAATAATGAACAGTACTTTTTTGAGTACGTTTTATGTACCTTTCCCTCTTAAACAATCTAAAAATTATCAGTGCAGATTCAATCTTTTATGGGGCAAAATTTTTAACAATGTAAAAAATAAACTATTTTATATGATAAGATACTTTAAAGGCAATATGTATAATTGTATAGCTTAAAAAAAAATTTTTTTTTTAGTGCTATGCACATTGAAGATAGGAACAAATAATCTTTGAATACAATTTTTTTTAAATTTTCTGCTTTTCATATTAATTGTTCCCCCATTATTAATAAAAAATTAATATAAAATTATTAAACTCACATAATATAGGGAAGTTTAAAATATGAATATTCTATGTAGATTCTTTAGGGCTTCAGGGTGATCAAATATAAGCTGTGTTGCCTAAAGCAAGGGCGCACAATCTGACTCCCTGCTGGCAGACGTGATAATCTCTGATAGGCAACGCTAGAGTTTCGTCTAGCAGCTTCAAAATTTCCAGGTAAGCTTTTAATGCCAGCTCATTTCTGCCCTCTTCAAGATTTGTCGACGCGACTTTGAAAAGTGCGTCCGTATCTTGGAGGGCTCTCAAGCCCTTCAATATGTTCGTACTCTTGCCACATTTCGCGCATCCGATCATGAACTCATTCGTGTCGCTTCTGACCAGCAGCACATTGCCGCAAGACAGTCCGGTTTCGCATTTAAATCTGAAAAAAATTGTACAATATAATGTTAACGTCAATATTATGTTGTTTGCTAGGATAACATGATAATTTTATTAATGATAACTATTGCAATTTTATTTATTTTACCATGTAATTAATATCTGATCATCTTGATAAATACCTTAGTACTGTTGGATCCAATTCTTCTAAAAGCGGCCAGTGTCCCGAGCACGCTTCGCAATTGCAATCGAACCAATATTGCACTCTCAATCTTCTTTTTCGCTCATTTTCGGGCGTGGTTGTGAAGATTGGACCGTAATTTTCAGAGATCTCTTCACCCGCTCTGATTGTACGAGCGGCACGAATAACCATAGTTGTGCCGATAAAGTACCTAATATATAATTAACGTTTCACATTTACAAAATTTAAATCATCTTTTTTATTAAAAATTAGTAATAAAATAATTTTTAAATTAATGAAGAATTAATATATCCTCAATAATAAAAAAATTAGTTTAAGTTAACAATATTTCATATAATTAAAAGAGTTACATATTGATTTATATAAATTATTGATATTTAGAAAAATAATTCAGCTTTTTATAATAACAATATTTTAATGATATGTGGAACATGACGTTAATTATTTACCGTACTACGCCAGGATTGCATGAATGATTTAGCATCGCTACTGTAGGATAAACACCACCGCCTATGAATATACTTTTGGCCTTAGCGAGTGTCTTCTCCCCTTTCGGTCTTACTAGTTCTGAGATCTAGAAAACAAACGATACAGTCAATACTTGTGAGAGAAAATAACGATAATGTAAATTTTATTACAAATTTATATAATAATCTATTTATTATGCAAAATTAATATAAAAATTGCTATAAGATAAATAAAAATAATATTACGATAATAATGAACTACGTCGCACGTACGCACGAAAAATTATAACATTGTATTAAGTTTTCTTACCTCGTGCGAGTTGAATTGCAGCAACTGCAAATTGTGTAACAGCAGCCCCGCGATGAACAATTCCTCGTCGGATAATCTGCTGTCCGCTGTATCGGTGGTTTTTATATTTTCTGGCAAATACTCGCCGGTTCTTAGCAATCTGAGCAGCCAGGCCGCCATATAAGCTCTGTGAAAAATATCCTCTGGCAATCTTTTGTCTTCATGGGTCACTATCAAAAATATAAAAAAATCTCAGTACAAGAAAAAAGATTATCTGCATAAAAAAACTTTGGTACTTGTTTAATTAACAAATAATTTAATTTTATGTGATAATTTAAAATAAGAAAGATGGCAACATTTTCATGTAAACAATTGCATGTATCGAAACGTGACAGGAGTGCTCATTTAATTAAAAAAGTAACTTTTTTTTAAGCTAATTATTTTATAGTTTTGTTCAAGTTACTATATATTTTTATACTTCTATTCTATTAGTCAACCTAAATTGTAGAAGGTCATGTAATCATCCCCTCGATACGGATTCTTCGCGGAGATGTTCAACGCGTTTCCGGAATCCGCGAGCTGTTTTTTCAGCTTCATAATTTCCTCGAAGGATTTCTGCGTGATCGCCCTTAAAGCTAGAAAACATGTCACCGAAGCCTTCGAATGCCACAAGGTCGGCAGCAGCTTGCATTCCCGCAGATGCACTTGGGCATCCGCGTCTCTGCAACGACGACTGCAGTACGCGATGCAGCTGCAAGTGCAACAAGCCGTTGGAATCGGCACGGATATCCTCGCGAAGCACAAGTGGCAATGCGTGAGCCTGAAAGTCGATCATCATTTTAATCCCACAATTTCATGCATTTAAGACGCATATTTCGATCGATGATAAATAAACCTTGATTGAAGAGAAAATAGAAATAGAAGATAAAAAATTAAAAAATAATACAATAAAAAAGTAAAATTTTTATATTTTTCTAATAAAATAGATTCTCATATAATGTAAGACTCCTCGAAAGTTTATGAATCTTTAATACCGTAGAGTTCATATAGCACCCTTAACTGTTGATAATAAATAAATAAAATTATATAATAATAATATAATAAATATAAACAAATAATTAATGAGATAAATCGAGAAATATATAAGGCTAGATTATAGAGTATTTGAACCCACCTGTTCTCCGCCAACAGAAATGCACAATGCGGTCGTTCCACGATTATGATCTCTCCGGGCGCTATTTCCCTGGTTGCCACGGCGTGTCTACCCAAGTCACCTCCGCTGTTCTTGATCTCCACTGCGCTACTGCAAGCGGGATATGGAGGATTCCTTTGCTTCTCAGGGATAAACTTGTCACGATTCTCTTCGGAACGCTGATTGCTGGACGGACTTTGCTTGCCATTAACTCGCGGGAGATCCTTCGGGACGGTATCGTTGAGCCGTTTACCCTTGTCCATCACCGCGAGCATCATTCTGATGTCCGTCTCGAACTTCTGTTTGCGTTCCGATGGTATCCTGGCGTCGTCCAGGGCCTGGAGAGCCCGCCTGAATGCCTCGACAGCTCCGTCATGCTTCTTCAGACCCAACAGACACCTGGCCCGTCGTTCCTCGAGTTTGTAAAAGAGATCTTTTGGATAACCGAGTCGCGAGGCCTCCTCCATGTCCTCTAACGCGTGCTCGTAACGTTTCAAATGGTACAGAGTGGCCGAGCGATTCGCCAGGATGACGCTTAATTCTAAACATTTAGACCTGTGTTCATGATCAATCAAAATAATTACTAAGCAAATTATTATTGATAGAATAACGTTAAACAATTATTATATATTCTGAAAATTTTCAAATAAATTAGGCGATTACAAAGAAACAATGAAGATCTATTTAATAAACATTATAAAATGATACTATTAATTGCGCAAATATATTAGTTTTTTGCCACATATAATTAGATTAAATAATTTTTATTTAATTTTATTAAATTATTTTTGCCATATATAATTGGATTAAATAATATACAGATATTATAATAGACGTTATATGTATATTTACCTGTTGACGGTGCTAAAAGGGCTGCGTTCGAATAAGTCTCCAAGGCTTTTGCGAATTCGCCGCAACCAAAGAGCTTGTTTCCAGTCTCCTTCAGTTGAATAGCACCACTGCTGTCCTTAACCATAGGCCTCTTCACATCCAGGGATAATTGGTGAGCCTCGGGATAGTTTAGGATGAAAGCTACCCTTTCGCCATTCGATTCGAGAGCGGCGAATTTCTTGAAATCCTGTTGATAAATCGCCTTTCGCACAGCCAACAAATTCGAGCGGAAAAATCCGCCTATTTCCGGTTCCAATTCTCTTTCCGACATAATTTTTAAAGTATTTTTTATGTAGTAATTAAAAATTAATGAAGCATTATAATAATTGACGATATTAGTGTTTAGATGATTTTATGATAGTATTAATATATATCTATGTAGTTTTATTTGTATTTTAAATATACGGAATTATGTAATAATCGTTGACTGGAATTATTGATTAAAATATATTCTTTGATATTAATTAGCAGTCAAATTATTTTAGTAATATTGATGTGTATATTTTTAGAATTAATTCCGCGTAATTAAGTTCCGCGTAAATTAATTTCTGAACAAAATCGTTTAACAGAGACGTTGAGCTAATTTTCGTTATCTTTTTCGTACAACGTGAAATTAATTTAATTAATTAATTGGAGAACACATTCGAGTGGCACGTCGCTGCTCGACAGCTCGAAGATACTAAGTTCTGGTGGCGTGTCTAGTTGCAGCGAAGACTATGCACGACTATTTTGGCCTGGGCTATTTTGAGATACTCGGTTTTAATGTAGAAGTGTGTCTGTAATGCCTTCCTGGTTAGTGACACAATGTAAGTTTACCTATGTTCGGATTAGAGTAACTAAATCATCTGTCGCGATCACCTGCTCTTACATTTACAATCCTTGCAGATTTCCAAAGATGTATCATACATATTTTAGAATTAAAATATGAATTAATTAAAATATGAAATAATTTATTATTATTATTATAAAAAGGAACCGAGAGAGAGGAAAAAATTCGCAAACATAAAAACTCATATGCGGATAATATCGATGATAAAAGAGTATATTTGTTAATGTTATCATTCGTATCTGTGCGTTATGAACTAATTAATTCCTAGACTATGCTAAAATATATCATAGATCGATAAAAGATAATTAGTTTAATTTCTCGATATAAACTAACTTAAATACAATATATACAAAATTCTCAGAGTCGGAGGCGATGTACAATCTGGCGAATATAGAATTTACATAATTGGTATAATGACCTTTAATTACGATGAGATTATGCTAATGATTATAGATAAAAAAGCTATCTCTTGTTCTATGCACATTCTAGAGAAAAATACATTTAATTTCTTAAGGTAAAAAGGTAATTTTTCAGAAAAGAAATCGATTCAATATCATACGCATTACTGTATAATAATTATATATATGTGTATCTTAGTCCGTAATATATATAACATGATTAATCTCATTAATAATATAATATTCCAAATTAATATTAATATAATATTAAACTTTATTTGTCGTTTATATTATACACAATACAATTTTATACAATAATGTCGATATATTTTCGATTATGCTTTCCGATTAAATAGCACCAACTAAAAAGATTCTCTAAATACTAAAGATAAAAAACTAGACAATACTATTTAATAGATGACGAGAAGATCTTCATATCTGTAAATACATAAAGATTAATACATTTGAAGAAAATAAAATATTTAAAAATGACACACATAATATATGTGCATGTTGAGAATACATTTACATATTACGGAGCAATTTTGATTCAAATAGTTCCCAGTTTTCTGAACTCTCTGATCTACAGTGAGTCTGATATCTTACTTACGAATATATATAATATACATATATATTTCTTGCAGAATCCTATTCTTTTACAGACAATTTTGTCATATGCAACAAACAAATATAATCAAAAATCACCATCTTTATTAAATTTTTTTCTCTTTATTTACATCTGGGAGACTTCCGATCTAGTTCTTCGGAATTATAAATAGAATCCATCTCTCACGTTTTAGGATCCCGAGGAGTCTCTCAAAAATCGTACGAACCCTCGTCGTCTTCCTTGTTGGCCCTCAGACCCATCCTGTACGCACCGCCGGCCAAACAGCCGCCGATGAGGGGACCCACCCAATAGATCCACACGTTCTGATACTCGTCCTCGACCACGGCCGGACCCAGAGTCCTGGCGGGGTTCATGCTGCTGCCGGTTATGGGAACCGCCGCCATATGGGCCGCCGTGATCGTCAGACCGATCGCCAGCGGGGCCCAGCCCTTCGTGTCGGACCTCTTGGCATCCGTCACAGCGTGCACCACCAGTACCAGTAGGAACGTGATGATGGCCTCCATTACGGTACCCTGGGATACCGACACGCCGTTGCCCAGCATGGTCGCGCCCAGGCCGCCGGTGGCATGTGTCTTGGGTATTATCAGCTGGACGGGGAACGACGCGATTTGATTAGACGGCTCGATGAGATTTTGCGAGGGGGAGAGAAACTTTTAATTGCTCGATATATAATAAATTTCTTAAAAAAAAAAAAAACTAATTAATATTTTACTCTTTGTAATTTTAATATCACAAAAAATACATAGTTAATATTCTGGTATTAAAATTAAATTTACAAAAAATTGAATTAATTAATTTGATTTCTGAGACGTTTACATATAAGACTATAATGGATAAGATAATATTCTCAGTGTGGTTTTAAACCATTTTATTTTTATACTTAAATAATTAAT